TCATAAACGCGTGTATAATAGAAAATGAGTCGTCGATGGAAGGTGTTGTTAAGGCATTGTTGTCCTCACAATGGCCATGCCGATTGTAAAATCTCTTAGCTGTTCGGTGCAGAATAATTGAAATGTTGACTATATATTTTTTTTGTGGCCCACCCGAAATTTATCTGGGGGTTGGGTTATTCAAATGTCTTAGGGTATGCAGGGGTGCTGTAAGGTAATCTTACTCTGCTAGTTATTATATAAATGGTGAAACAACAACAGCTTTGATCATTCAAATTCAGCCATTTAACATCGATAAGTGACTAAATAATATTCTTGAAGTACCTAACAGATAGAATTTGGTGAGCATCCTTTTATATTATTTATCCAACACTATATTTATTTTTTTAATAATGTCTATCACTACCTCAGCCTTGCATGAAATAAACAATAAAATAAATTGCGAATCTGACAACAATATACCATCTAGAACATTGTCATCATTAACTGCAAACAAATATTATCCTATTAAGAATATTTCAAGTATTCAATCAAAGTTTGGGCAATGCCTAGTAGCAACCCTTCTTGATTCTGATTCTGACCAGTTTAGGGTTTGGCTACCTAATAGAGTGTTGGAAAACATGCCCGAAATTATGATTAAAGATATAAATGAGTCCCTAAACAAATATTTCTTTAGCGAATATTGGCCAAAGCTCACCAAAGACACCAGGTAGTCGTTCAAAATGTTTGATAAAGTTTGACTTTGTTGACAGTAATTAGTTTAAAAGAATATGAGGTAGTATAGGCAAATATGTTGGGTATAAGTAATATAAAGTGTCAGATTGGAACTGGGTTAGGAAAATGCAGCAGGTAAAGTTGTTTTGACAAATATCATGTTCCACTTATTATATTTATCTTTCCAGAAGCAGTACACTCCCTTTGGTTTGACAAGATGTGGATGCATTATGCATCATTGCGTTGGCCTGATTCAAAGGATCTACGTACCGCTGTTATGAGATTAGTGTGCCAGTTAACGGATTTGATGCATGACGCTGAACATTCAACAAACAACGATATGAATACCTATTTGTCGGGATGATAACGAGGTTGAAAGGATCAGGAGACTAAACTTGTGCTGATATTTTTTTGGGGTAAATTTGGTCAAAAAGAAAACATGATTCCCTATTTTTTTACGCAAAAAAACGCTCGAAAGCCCCTATAGAATGTGGGGGTTGCAACCCTGGCAAACAAAACCTGTACAATTTGGTTGCGCTTTTTCAAACTAATATTTTTCGTTTTTGTTTCTTCAAAAATATTGAATAGAACCAAAGATATACAAAGAAATCTGATTTTAGGGGTAAACTTTCTGGATGGCTTTCACCCTCTTAGAGTGCATGTCAGCCGATGAAAAAATCGGTGCCTTATATTTTTCGATTAACTACTGCAAATCCAAATTTAAGCGAAATCGGAGGCGGAGGGCTTCCTTATTGATTTGCCATGACGCGACTACAGCATTATATATTTAGTATTTCTTTCTAGTTCCACCATGGCCAACCGAGATTAACTCATTACAAAAGCCTTATAGAGCACTTAAGCGATGTCTGGGAATCTTATACAGAACTAATCCCATTTTCAATGGTCTATACGTTGATATTTTCAAAAGGTACTTTCTATTTATGTTATCTTGATTTTGGTGTGTTCTCCTTTGTTATTTTTCGTAAGCATATTATTGTCCTATGCCTATTAGTTCGTATACTTTTTCTTATGTTTTTTGGCCTAGGTATACGTATTCATTGCTACTATCCCGGCCACTGTCTTGAAATATATTTCCATCGATATTTCCTTGCTCGCTAATCTGTATTTTGTCAGGTGACTTTATTAGTGCGTTTTGAAAAGTGAATTTCTTGGATATATGAATAGATGTCTGAGCATTGAATCTCACTTATTTATGGATCTGATCACTGCGTGGCGAACTCTGTTTTGTAAGCTTCGAATTCATGGAATACAGGTTGCTGTTTTTATAGAAACTTTCCCAGTATTTTATGTGATAATTATGTACATTTTCTCTCCAAATCTATGTTGAAACTGATTTAAGTTATTAATCTCAGTTAAACATACTTTTTTTAAACTGTTTGAGTAGAATTGAATATGAGATAAAGAATGCACACGTCGTATGGTAAAAAAATAACAGACTTGAAATCCATGATGTGAAAAGAAATGTTTCATTTTAGATAGTATGTCAACGTGATTTCGTGACATGGTCTGATAGGCTTGGGCCTATCGACTAAAGTGGTCTATAAAAGTTACATATTTAGTATTTTCAATAGTAAAAATATCTATGAACACTAGTTGGAATGGTTTGTTACTGAAAAATGGGCCTTGGATTGGTTCTTTGTAAGGTTTTCGTTCGTATTTAGCTTTTAAACAGATTTCGCTTTTATTAATGATGTCAGTTATAAGGTCTTTAAGTTTTGGTGTATAGTGAGTCTTTTGGAAATGAGAATACGTTTCATTAATTCCGTTGTGAAATTTATGATGGTACAAAGTTATTTCGTCTTTCATTTCTTGTTTGTCTAAATAAATTGGTTTAAATGCAGCTTTTTCTAGTACAATATGTTTTGCAGAAAAAGATTGTTTCATAATTTTACTAAGTATGGGCAAAAGTTCCTGATCGTCGTACCAAATTCCGTATTTAATACCAGGGGTAGAATAATTTTTTATACAATCCAAAATAAATGAGGAACATAAGTGATTAATTAAAGAGCACCTTAGGGTCTTATTCGGAAGTAATTTTATCTTGTTTTTCTTTTTACCTGTTATAAATTCAATTCGGTGAGGATAGGCATAAAAGTTTTTGTCTGAAAATTGAATCGAGTTTGGGTTTGATTCAGGCGAAGTGTGTCTCGTGTTAGTTGATCTGTTGTCTGTTTCGTGAATAGTCATTTCTGATTCGGGTGCGTTAGGGATCATTGATTCGGTTTCGAGATAATCCTGAACATTTATCTGGATTCGGCTTAAGGCGTCAGCAACTAAATTTGTTTTGCCTTTTTTGTATTTGATTTCGAAATCGTATTCCTCAAGTTTGATTTTCCATCTAATTAATCTCTGGTTTGGTTCTTTCAAATTTGATAACCACACCAAAGGTTTATGATCAGTCTCAATCAGAAATCTTTATCCAAATAAATATGGTCTAAAGTGTTTGCATGAATCAATAATGGCTAAGAGTTCTTTTTCAATGGTGGAATAATTTCGTTCAGCAGAGTTTAATGTTCTTGAATGAAAACTGATAGGTCTTCCGTCTTGTGATAGAACACTTCCTATCGCAATATTTGAGGCGTCGGTTGTTAACGTGAACGTTTTTGAAAAATCAGGATATTGGAGTACGGGTGAATTAGTGATAGTCTTTCTTATTACATCAAAAGCTTGAATGTAATCAGGATCTGAAATGTTGATTTTCTCGTCTTTCTTTAAACATTTAGTGAAAGGTTTGGTAATTTTGGCAAAGTCTTTAATGAATTTTCTGCAATAGTTGGTTAATCCTAAAAATGATTAAATTTGTTTGATAGTTTTTGGTATTGGAAAATCTTGAATGCATCTGATTTTATACGGATTTGGTTTAATTCCGTTTGGCGTTATTACATGTCCCAGAAATGGAACGTCTGTTCTTAGGAACTCTGTTTTGTCAAGTTGTATTTTCAATTGATGTTTAATTAAAGCTTGAAATATAGATTTCAAATGCATAAGGTGGTCTTGCAATGATTTTGAGAAAATTATTATATCATCTAAATAGACGAAACATATTTTTCCGCTGTAAGGTTTTAAAACAAAATTCATCATTCTTTGGAATGTTGCTATAGCGTTTTTCAGTCCGAAGGGCATTCGTTAGTATTCATAGTGCCCGTTGTCGACGGTGAAGGTAGCCTTTTCAATTGAGTCTTTGTGCATAGGAATCTGATGGAATCCTTGTGCCAGATCTAACGTTGAAAAATATTTGGCTTTGCCTAAACTCTCTAGTATTTCTTCAGTTCGGGGCAAAGGATATTTATCTTCGATAGTAATGTCATTTAGTTTACGAAAATCGATTACCATGCGATATTTTTTAACGCCGGAAGCGTCAGGCTTCTTATTTATGATCCATACAGGTGATGAGTACGGACTGGGACGGATGATGTCATCTTGCAAAAGTTTAGCGACTTGTTTCTGAATTTCGGTTTTTAAATAGACTGGATAGCGAAAAGATTTTACAAATATTGGGTCGTAGTTTTTTGTTCTGATAGAATGAGATGTTACGGTACATGGCTCTAATTTTTTCGTTAGGTTTTAGAAAAGCTTCAGGAAATTTTCTACAAAGTTCTGTTATCTTGTATTTTCCCTCGTCATTCATGTGATCAGTTCTTATTAAAGTTCCAATATCAGTTAAATTATATTCATTCTGGGGTGTTTCAATGTCGTAATTATCCAAATTGTCGTATTTGATGCATTGATAGTTTAAATCTAATAGATTTGGATTTTCTGGGTATAGTACTTCGTAATTATTAACGGTACAAATCATTTCGGGTGTGTAGTCGTTAGAATTTAGATATTTAATAGGTGGAACGATCATTTGTCCATTTTTGATAGGGGATTTTAGAACTTGATTTTTGATTACAGTATTCGGGACTTTACGTGGTATTTTGTCAGTCTGGCAAATAAAGTTTAAACGATCAATGGTTAGCAAGTTCTTAGATGTTTGTAAAGTAGCTTGAAATTTTTGTAGATCATAATATCCTAGCAAACAGTCAAAACGTTCGTGCCAGTCTAAAATGAGAAATTCAATTTCAGTGTTAATGCCATGTTCATTGAACAAAGGAATTCGCAAAGCGTATTCACCGTGTTTAGTACCAATGATAGATTTTATTGAAAAGTGTTTTGGATAAATGTAATCTGGAAAATAATTGAAAGCAATTTGAGTGTTTATCAAAGAGACAGATGCACCAGTGTGTATAAGAGCTAGCAAATCTAAATTTTGTAAATAAATGTATGGCAAATGTGTGTTCTCATAATTATTGAGATCTAAGTCAATGGGTTTTGATTTGGGGCTTTCGGAAAATTTTGAGTTGTCTCTTCAGGGGGAAACTCGACAGTAGGGTTACCATCTGAATTTTCATATTCTTGTTGGTCATAATTTTCATAATTTGGATCATAGTATTGCTGTTCATCGTATTCTTCGTCTCTGTCTCTCTTCGTTTTGTGATTGTTCGGTCGCTTCGGTGTTGGTTAGTTCTTCAGCGATAAAATTTGGTCTTTATCCGTGATTTTTCGTGGTTGAATTTGTCTTTGAAATTGATTATCAAAATAATTTGGTCTGATGTTAATCGGGCCAGTTGGGATGTTAGATCGTTGTGGCTGTTGGTAAAATTGCGGATTGTAAAATTGTTGGTTTGAAGGGAATCGTCACATAGGTGTATTTTGAACGGTATTTGTAGGTTTCGGTCTTTGAATGGCGTTAGTATTTTTGGCATTTTGTTTAGTAAATACTTTGGATTGCGATTATATTTGTAAATTATCGTATTTTCGACAAATTTGTAAGGCAGCTTGAAGAGTTGTAGGTGTTGCGTTAAATAGGAGTGATTTATATGGTTGTTTAATACCAGTTACAAATGAATCTAATGCAGCTTCTGTGTAAAGGTCGACTCTAGATTTAGCAACTACATCAGAAAATTCCAAAAGAGCATATTCTCTAAGAATATGTAATTTTTGCAAAATTTCAGTATGAAAATTCAAATAGTCTGTGTACTGGGATAAATTTCTAAGTTCATCAAGTAGCATTAATTCGGATTTTGAATCTTTGTAACGTTCTTTCAGAATTTCTTCAAATTCTTGCCAAGTTTGAGGATTATTTCGTTCAACGATAACAGAAGGTTCTCCTTGTAGTTTGGATTTTACGTAAGATAAAGCATGAATTTGATATGGGCTATGCAAAGCGGCAACAAATTCTCTAGATTTACGTAAATATACAGATAAATTATTTGATGTTTCAGAAAAAATAGGCACACTATCTGTCAATAGGTTAAATAACATTTGTGGATTGTCAGCCATGGTTGTTCTGAATTCCTCTCTAACGTTAGCTTAGTTTTTTATTGGTTGTCTTCTAATGGGTGATCGTTCTCGTACTGGAGATTTACCAAAAGTTTCTTTGACTAAATAGATAAAATGGATTTGGCTTACTCTAGCGTTATGTGAAAAATCAAATTTTTCATAACGGAGACTGCTCTGGTTCTTGTAGCTCTCTGTTTCTCTAGGCTCGTTCTGCAGGGACCTCGGACGTGGCTCTCAGGTTCTCAGATCGTTTCTCTTACGGAAGTTGATACTTCCTACCTCACAATGGTTGGTCACACAGAAGGGACGTAGTTCAGCTCACCTGATGAATCTCGAAGATTTTACTGATGGTTGGCTGGGCTCGTACAAACTTCCAGATGTTTTCCACGAAGGCGTATAACGATCCTGTTCGCAGCGCCAGATAAAGAATGCACATGTCGTATGGTAAAAAAATAACAGACTTTATTGCAGGAACGAAGAGTGGTTACAAGTACTGAACAAAATCTGTCTGTGCCTCGATATAATTCTAGTATTTATAGGAAAAATAAAAGAGCTGTATCGAAAAAAAAAAACAAGTAAAAAGCAAATATTTCTTAATGGGCTTGCTTGCCATACAATTCAATTTGTTGGAATAATGGGCTTGTACCACATATTTATGTTACCAACAGGATTCCATAACTTATATTATTATTTATTTGGCAAATGTACATGTTAAATTCGTGTGATGAATTTCGGCCATCGGTTGCGTATATGTATGAGTGCTTACGGATCGTAACCTTTTCGAAAGGTTTGTCGTGCATGTTCCCTAAAAATGTGAATAAAATGGTTTCAAGTAGATTGACGCGATTCTGTCATCAGTTAGATTATGATCATTTTATTTATAAGCACTTCAGTTCACAGCTGACGGAAATGGTTTTTCGTGACTACATCCATATAACATCCAAAAAACATTTCATTTTCGTAATTTTTCGCAATTACCATACCTCCTTAACAGTGGCGTAGAGAGTAAAAAGTTACCTACAAACGGGTAAAATAGAAATTAAATGCATTGAGTCTGTCAAACAGGCCCATGCAATTAGTCCATAGACATCTTTTTCCTGCCCTAACGGTTGTACCGTCCACCTGGCAACGTCTCCCCTACCCCATCCATCCCCTCTATAGATGAACCCACTCGTGATTTTGGCAGCGTGCGCGTAGCAGTGATAGCCTGACCCCTATGAGAGACACTGTCACGCCAGCCAAGACCTTTTTCTAGTATTCTTAAGGTTTACGGGTAGATGTACGAAGAAATATATGACATACGGAATGCATACTAATAATTGCGTTGAATGCCTGCGGTTGTAAACTTATAAATATACGTGTGTCATCAAATTGTAACATTCCCTCCTCAACCCCCTACAACCCCTACCTTGATTTACAACCCCTACACATTTTTTTTCGAAAATGACAACAACCTCTAAAACGTCCAAAAACAAAGTTTGAGCTATATTTATTTTTTTTGCATTTGCCAATAGCACCCCCTATAACTACTAAGCTTTTTCTTTCTTGATGCATTAGTAACATTTTGTGAAAATTTCATAAACATCCAAATAGTACTTCTCAACTTTTAGTTGTATTCGTGGGCAGGAAGACGGACTGACGGAAACGAGTGACATGTCTTTTTCCTAGATCTATTATTATTCAGAGCTTTACCTCTACTTATTTTCTAACGGGTCAATTTGGCGAGCGAAATTAGGATGATTAAATTGTCGTATGAATACCGTATCGTAAAAATAACAGTTGAAAATTTCTAAGATAGTGAGTAAGCGCCATTTGATGTCTTATGAGTACTCCATAACCCTAGGATATGAAATCGCTACCGTTCAAGCTGGCGAACCGGGACGCTGTCAACAGCGTGATTGTACTTTTAATAGCTTATACCTCAAATAAACATCTAAACGTTATAGTATGTTATATCAATACTCTTCTTTTAACTGAAGATGTTTTAATGGAATGTTACATATCCGGATAGACCCTTCCAATGGAAGAACATTGATAGAATATACAATAGTGCTTTGATGATTGGTTGTTGATATAAGCAATTTAATGTACAGAAGCGCTCAACTTTGACAACCTGAAAGTCCCTAATTTTGAAACGTACTGATTTTCTATTCTAGATTGACACATTGCTCATGAGTACTCAATTTAAGAAAATATCACAAGGCGCCGCCCAGCCGTCATCTTGACATTTCCAACTTCCAATTTTATGTTGACATTCCGTACTTGCAATGAGCAACAATGTGATTGTTCTCTAGTTTGATATTTTCTGCCATTAAAATCACAGTATTCACATTCCCAGTATTGCTCCCCACAGCTCAAAGCAGAAATGTGTTATATGCTGTGCCTTCGATAACCAACTTTCAGGACCTTGAATAATAATTTACTGCAGAGGGCGCTAGCTTACAGGATAATTTTTTGTTCTTAAAAGTATTGCAATACATGAACTTTATCGGCGCTGTGGGGACAGTAGCCGTCCTTTCTTATATCCATAATTGAACATGATTCTGGAGCCAAATTGCAACGTCACCTAGGAGCCCATGAAATAGATATGCTTTTGAAACTTGGGTAGAATAATTCATTAAACTTCGCAGTTATCTGGCTGAAACACTGTGAGGACACGTGTATGTCTCCATAGTAAATAATGTCCCCACAACCCTGGTAAATATTATGTGAAATTTCCTATAACTAATGCAATACACACGCACGCACGCAGACACACACGCACACGCATGCACGCACGCACGCACGCACCCTTAGCACGCACGCCAATCCCTCATCATGCAGCCTTCGCCACACTTTAGTCCTCGACACTTGCACTAGATGGCGTCACACCCACATGTTGACGTCATCCTATCTCTATCTCTCTCTCTCCAATGCATCGGCCCATTCTGTCTCACATGATGACATGTGGGTGTGGCACCATCTAGCGGCGAGAACCACAGACTATAAGGTGATCGATAACCTGTTGGGGATTTCATTCCAGGCTACTGCAAGATGGTATATCTCAGCTATTTCGCGAAATTTGGAGTTAAAATTTTAATCACTTTCTATTTATCATTAGACCTAAAACATGTAAATGTATGCTTAAAATTACAGCACTCCTGTCGGTGCTGCATTCAGTATACTTTTTGCCCTAGAAATACTATGAATTTTTCTTCCAAAAATCGCCCTCGAATTCTGCCTGCTTTATTAATGGCTTGCATTAGACCTGCTATACATACCTATATTGGGTTACAGAAACATTTCTGCTTCATCCAATATCCCCAGTTTGTCGTAATATTTAACTATTTAAAAAAAGTAAATGTCATAAATATTAATACCAATATAAACGTGACAGTTTTCAACAGTTCATCTTGAAACAAGGATTTTGTGGTTTAATGTTCACGAAGGAAAGATCATCTGCCAAAATATTGCACCATGTACTGAAAGATTTGAGTAAACATGTACCAGAGTTCAGACACATAAAGTCGGATTTCGTTGTGGGATATAACAGAAATCCTTTTAATAGAACCGTAGAATCACTTCTGAATAATAAGAAGAACAGACAAGTACTTGATCATTTTAGAAACAAGGAGATTAACATTTGTGGTTTGATATTCATGAAGGAAAGATCAATAGCCAAAATATTGCACCATGTACTGAAAGATTTGAGTGAACATGTACTAGAGTTCAGACATATAAAGTCGGATTTCGTTGTGGGATATAACGGAAATTCTTTTAATAGCACCGTAGATTCACTTCTGATTAATAAGAAGAACATACAAGTACTTGATCGTTTTTTAGAAACAAGGAGATTAACATTTTAGTGGCATCAAATGTAAGAGAAGAAGGTGTAGATATACCAACTTGCACTATGGTTGTCAGGTAATTTTATTCACTAGTTTCTCATTGATTCGCTTGTATAAATCAAGATATGCTAGAGAAAAGCTCGTCACCGATAAATTTGATATAATCACTAGCTCAAGTATTCTAGCAAGATCTTTTCAAATCAATTAAAATTAAGTTTGTGTCGCTGTCCGTAGGCTCTAGGGTACGAACGCAGCATCGGTTTCGACCACATTTGGCTAAAAATGCCCCTTCGGCGACACATTTGGTCATCAGCCAAAGAACCCGACGGCCAAAGGTTTGGAAAAAATCTGGTCGCGTACCAACGGAACTTAGACATGGTCAGCGTATGAAATACTTATCGAAAGATGTTGAGCAACGTTAACATATACGTATACATTGTGTTCCATAATTATTGCGACAAAATGATAGGGGTTGTAGAGGGCATCAAAATGAACAATTTTTCCTTATAAACCCCTGTTCGGAAATATGCCGTTTGGGCTGCAGCAAAAAAAAAAGATCAGTTTCTTGAAACAGCTTACCTACAGTAATTGCTCAAAGTGTCCTCCACCTTGCTCAATACACACCTGTGCACGATTGTTCAATGATCGGCGAACTCTGTGGCATACCCCCGGTATGTCCTGAACATGTGCGGACCCGGCCATCACTCTTCCCAGTAGCTCTTGTTGGTTGGGAACAGGAGTTTCGTACACTAAAGCTTTCAGATAGCTCCAGATAAAATTCCAGTGGAGTCAGGTCAAGTGACCGCGCAGGCCAAGGCACAGGGCCACCTCGGCCTATCCACCTATTTGGAAATTTGTCGTCCAAATACTGCCGCACTTGTAAAGAAAAGTGGCCTGGACCGCCATGGTGTTGAAACCACATGTTGGCTCTTATATTCAGTGGCACATTTTCTAATAGTTCCGGTAGCACATGCTGTAAGGATCGACCATAAGCATGCCCATCCAAACGTGGTGGAAGCAGATATGGCCCGATGATATGCTCGTTCACAATGCCGCACCAGATATTAATTGAAAACTGATGTTGGTCTCTATGAATGGCTATGGCATGAGGGTTTTCTTCATCCCAAATGTGACTGTTACGGCTATTAAAATAACCGTCCTTTGTAAAACAGGACTCGTCAGTGAACAAAACGTAGCGACCAAAGTCTGGTTGCCTCAACTCCTGCTGCAGCCACCAACGACAAAAACGTCGACGCGGCAGATAGTCTGCTGGACCCATGGCTTGGACTTTTAACAGGTGGTACGGGTGTACGATAACAAAAATGTAAACACAGCAGGCTTTTTTTACAAACCGGCGAGACCATGAAATGTGCTAGACGAACATTTTGCAGCTGGTGAATTTTTTGTTTCTCCTATGAGCTCTTAAGGTAAAATTAACTGTAGTGCTCAAACGGCATATTTACGAACAGGGGTTTATGAGGCAAAATTGCATATTTTTATGCCCTCTACAACCCCTATCATTTTGTCGCAATAATTATGGAACACCCTGTATGAATACAGGCTCCTAGTCCATTCCTTTGAAACTGATTAGGTACTCTGAAATATATTTGAGTGCACCTCCAATACTGCAGAACAAACATTCGGCTACAGAAAATCCAGTTTACTGTGCGATGTCTGTGGTGCTTGATTTCTATGTACCCGTCTTAATTTTCGCCTAAAATTAATAATCACAGTATAGTCGACATCATCTATTTAACTTATTCAACACATGAATTGATCGAAATGATCACTTTTTTAAATTATGTTTAATGCGAGACGTAATTTTGAAACTATTTCATGGAATCAGGTGTTTCATAAGTAATTTTAGGTGTATTTCCAACACTGTTCTGAGTTCTATATTTTTATAGGTGCCGCTTCCGGATGTACTCGTGTATGTTAATTAAAATTTTGCTTCAAATTGACTAACCACGCAATTCCTTTTTACATTGTTGTAATCTAAATGCAACAACTTTAATGAGGTTACGAATTATTAATCACTGAAACATCACGCTTTATTTGATTTTAAGAAGTTTCTATGTCATATTGCATCAGAATCAAGATCTCAACTTACAAAGAGAGAGTGCCAACGGTTCAAATGTTCGTTATTGTACCATTCTGTTCTCATACAACTCATATTTTTGATTAACTAACCATTATTATTATACGAAAAATCTTTTTTTTTTCCAAAAAAACGTTAGTCCAGTCCGTTGTACATGAGGTATCAATTAATACATATCAACAGTACAATATATATATATATATATATATATATATATATATATATTAACACAGGTAGTGGCCGAAACGTCAGTTAAGTCCTTCTCAACATGTATGCGGTTCACTTTAATTGGGAGTAGAAAAAACATGTCATATTCTGTTGTGCGAAGTGAAAATTATTTTTGCTTTTGTTCTATCGTTATTCGACATCTAAAATATTGACAGAAGTACGGTGGGCTATTTTTTCTTCTTTCCCTACAGTCCATTACTTCAATATCATCTGGTTCGAAACCCCTGTTTTCACACTTAATCTTTTTTTCTTTTTCGTGTTATTTTTGAAAATATACCCTCTTAATAACCGTTATCGTCATTTTGAATTCGAATTCTCACTAATGATATTAGGATTATCAAGAACCATAGTACTCTGATCAAAAATCTACCACAATATCTTGAGAATCCAATGATTCATCCTGTCAATGCTCTTTTTGTGTTCAGGTTATCTGCTTACAAAAATAAATTTAATACAAATATTTCTCCTCGACAATTAAACAATTACATGGCTTCTACAATATCTGATTGTTACTTTCTACCATATTCTATCCGTAATTTCAACAAGGATATTAAGTGACTCTACTTTGCATTTTGTTTTTTTTTGCTAGCGCCATCGTCTAACTTTTTACATGCACAAAAATAGAAGACCCACCGGTAAATTGTCCAGTCGGCTGACCAAAGAACCGAGGAGGTTATAGATAACTATTCTAAATTAAGTATATTACGGTGTTTACCCTGCATCCCCTGCCATTTATTATATATTATTTTGATTTTTTTAATATCAACTTTGTAGATTAATGTATGGCCTTATCGTTAAACTGCTTTTGCAGTAATCATTATTTCCGTTATAACGGTGAGAAGCAAATATGTTTTTTCTGTCCCAACGAATGCGTAGGATACGCAAAGGAAACACTATTATCGGTTTTGATGGTTACCGTCGATAATACTCGTAGATAGTTATACCTTTTGAGGATGTGTTTTTTCTGCAGCCTTTGGTTGTCTCTGGTGCTGTTTCGAAGTTCTACGTGGTTATCGTGCTTCTCAATTTTTGGTGCTCGTAAAGATAGTATGGCTATTATCGAAAATAGAGTTTTTTTTATTCTTACTTTTCATAATACCATTTTACTCTTTACGTAGTTTTCCTTTCTATACTATACGAAGTTCTACATGGTGATCGTGCTTCTCAATTTTTGGTAACCGTGCAGTGCTGTGCCCATCACGTAAAAAAGTAAAAATGGCTACTATCGCAAAATAGGAATAAAAAACTCTATTTTCACGGTAATAACCGATTACTTTTACGTAGTTTCCTCTCTACACTGCTTATGGATCTGCTGTACTTTCTTTTCCAAGGTATGGTTTTTATAACTATACAAAGTTCTACATGGTTATCGTGCTTCTCAACTTTTTTGGTGCATATTACTGCAGTCGATTAATAAGAACAATGCATACTTTTAAATATTTTTATATGCAGTAAAGAAAAAGCTGAACAATTTCGGCTGCAAGCAAAAAAATATATTTCCAATCAGGCGGGAAATAAAAAACAAATAATCATTTGCATAGATTTTATTTTACATATTTATTAAAAATATATACATACATTAACAAATTAATATTTTATTTTCTTAAATCCATATGGTAGAGAGGCATGATCTTCATAGAATTTCCTTTTCATTGCATTTATACTGTATACTGTATACCTTAGGAAACTCGATGGTTACTACTGCATGCTCTTTTGTACGTTGTATCTGTCGAGAAAGTACTGAAACCGAATCAGATTTCTTCAGCACCATATCTTATATTTTCTCAAAGTTGACCACTTGAGATGCCTTGTAGTTGAGTGATATGCCTTTTACTTTACATATGATCTGTTCCTCTTCAGACAAAGTAGTATATTTGTAGCCGTAGTTCTTAGGTCCTCCAGAAAGAAACTCTGATATGAAACCCCCATTGAGCTCATCGGTCATATCACCTATGAAGTCGCTTGTAGATATGTCGTCTAACCCCTTTCTTCCACTTTCTCCAAGAAAGAAGCTAGGGCCATGACATATGAAGCCAATACAACGTTAACCGTTGAAGACACGTCATAGGCCTCTTCTCTAAATCCCCAGGTTACGAGAAGAGCTTCTTCGTTTACCGGGAGAACTGTATTTACATGAATAGAAGGATTAGTCGTCATATCAAAGAGTCTCTGACTATTGAGGTTTTGTTTTGGTTTTCTTTTTGACCAAATTTACCCCAAAAAAATATCAGCATAAGTTTAGCTAACGATCTCAAACCGGGGTTCTCTGTAATTTTTGAAAATTCCAGCTTTATGTCCTCTCAGTCCAAAAATGCATCAATATAACGGTTTTTTCCTTCATCCGTTAAGCAATGTTTAGGCCATCCTGAAGCTTGTTGTTTTATTTGTAGAAATTTGTTCATCATTCCGCTAAATAACTTCTCTTGGTCGTTACTGAGCTCGATTGTGTCGTATTCCCTTATTTCGTACTTCTCTATAATCTGGTAACCTTTTCCAATAGCTTTGAGCACCTCTTCTATCACCCAAGTTCCTCTTATGCTTATTTCTTGAATAGAATGCCGACACTGTTCTCGAACGAAATCTTCACCACACTTTTGGCAGTTAACAACCATCAAGTTGTTGTTCATTTTTGACTTTAAAACGGCGTGATATAGGTTCTGGTTCGGACCTGACATCTGCGACAGAGAAGCTGTTCTTCACCTACGTAATTTTTTTTTGGATGAACCACAGGAAATTTTCGATATTTACATATGAAGGGGTAGAGGGAACATATATCGACATATTTTATGCATTCATTTGTTTTGGTCTTGTAGTATTCAACGATATTTTCTGTACGTCTCCCGTAGAGAGCGTCTCTGCGATTAATAGGTAAATTGATTATCAATGGATATGCTTCTGCGAACGCTCTAATTTCATCGTTTAGCATTCCTCGAAATTGACATTCCCATATCTCAATTACTTCTAGTCCAAAGCTTCGGAGTCTCTCTACTTTGCTAACTGAAACATCGTGGGCAACCGTGAAAATATCATCCTTGGAATTTAAACACTTGATTTGTGTCGCTACAAAAACCGTCTACGTTATGTCCTTTAACAATGACTTCTATATATCCTTAGAGGCGTGTTGAACTTTGATGCTCCTCCCACAACATCCATTGAATGGCAATTTTTGACTGATTTTCACGCCATCTATAGCCACCTTTTGGAATTAAACCGATCGCCTCAGGTTTTGAGAAATTGCGCCTAAAGACTTTGTTACAGCATGATGCAATAGTGGTGCTTTCCTGGAAGGGATCGACTGTGGTTTCAGTTTTCATCAGATCTCGAAATTTGAGTCACGCCTGTGTCAATACTTCCATGTCGGAGATACAGTATTCAACGATTTCTTTCTGAAAATCAAAAACGTATCCCTCCGCTTGTCTTTCGCCATGCCATTTTAATAATTTTTTCCGTGCGTCTTCCTTTAAATGGTCGGGATCGTAGAATTCGAGCGCTGGAATTGGCCCTACATAATTCTAATGAGCCACAGTGTTGAAAAAATGTGGAAAGTATCCTTTCTTTAGCTCTTTCAAATCAAACGCCTTGGGAGAGCAGTTAGAGGCATAGGAAAATAATGGAGAGAGTCCAAAAATTTTACATTTTCCACCTCCATCAATATTAATTTTGTTCCTGTCATAATTACATTTGGGTGTAGACTAGACTTCTGTAAAATGTAACGAAGTAGAAACTGGTGATCAAATCCTCCGCCATTATGCGGCAGGAAAATGACTTTCTTGAATTTTTTACGAAATGTCAGAATATGATGCATAAACGAAGAAATGCCGTCTTGACATCGAAGAATCTGTAATCGAAGGCCACATGTCTTGCATATAGGATTATCGGTACATGATTCACAACTTTGTTTGAATACACATAGATTTGGCACATGAAGTAAAGATCCATTGGGTAATTCATTCTCCTGACGGGTTTCCACACCGTAAAATACTAATAAAGCATCATCTGATTTAGGAATACTTTTGTCAGGCTGTATATAGCACATCTGCCCAATTGGCTGATTTTTATATCATTATATTATATAGATCATTACTTTTGTGAACTTTAAAACAGTCTACACATCTTTTAGTTTTAGAACAGATCGATGGTAAATGAGCGTTAAAACATTCTTGTCCATAAAAGCTTCTATTACATTCCTTGCATTCGATGTGTTCCGTTTTCAGGCAGGCCGGGGATCTTTTACAGTCATAACATTGTCTATCACATCTATGAATTTTTTTAGTATTATACGGAATGTGACAGTTCTCACAAAAATAGGTGCAGCAAATGGCAGCAGTGAGAGATGTCATGACGTTGTAGTGCCCCTCGTGATAGATTAGGTTAAGCGTCGGACCAGTGGACACGCCTTTAAAAATGACGTCCCGACCTTTGTATCCAAACTTTTATACAACGATTTTGTAGTTTTGCAGATATTGTTGTAACTTTGAAGTTCAGGTATTTCACACCCCTCCTCAGGGATAACAATATCTGCCTTTTCCACAAGTTGTATTTTATCAAATAAATATATATATTTATTTGATGTACATGTGTGTTAAAAGAGCGGAAATCATCGAAGCTAGTCGAAAGCTCTACGAGCCAAAATCCAAATATTATCGTTCCATACTGAACGAAATTCCACCATCAGGAACCTTTCTGTGGGATGAGGAGGCCACTAAAACCCACGGAATTTCAAAGTTCTCTCCCATTCAGAATCTTTCTTGTGGACCACATTGGGCGAGACAGACAAAAAAGTTCCATCAAAGCCCATCAAAGAAACCCGTAAAGCTAGATGCAAGGCATAATAAATCTTATAAAGGTAAGGACCGTAAAAGTTCTTCCTTCAAGGAACGCTGGGAAAGGAAAGGGGCTTAAAGGCTATGCGATACCATTTTAAGGGAAACCTCCGTCGACAGCATTAAAAAGGGAAAAGTTAGAAAAATTCGAAACACCACACACGCCGCCAATTTCCAGAGAGGTAGCAAACCTCATGAGCCAGGAGGCTCTAAGAAAATTGCATTCAAGATTGGGCTTCACCGTCAATTTGAAAAAATCAGTAACAGAAACCACACAAGTTCTAACCTACCTCGGAGTAAATTGGAATACAAAAGAAGACCAGAAAAGCTTAACAGACGACAAAAACCTTGATCTAGGAAAAATTATCGCAAAAATAACAAAAAGAGAGACTTGGAGCTGGAGGCAAACAAAATGCATTCTAGGAAAAATGGATCGTTCGTGATTCCTCTGGCTCGCTTACGTTGCCGGATATTGTAGCGACCTCTAAGAGAACTTCCAGAAATTCGCCACAATCATCAGATTCCGGTATCGCCACAAAGAGCCCAAGTTCTTTGTTGGTGGTCGAACAGTCTAAAACAAACCAGTCCAATTCACTGAGAAGAACCAGAGGTCCATCTCATCACGGATGCCTCCGACACGGATTGGGGAGCTCAGCTGGGAGACAACCTAGTAGCAGGACCATGTAAAGCACCCCAGCGACAGTGGCATATCAACAAGAAAGAGATGTTTGTTATATACCTGATGATGGAAAACAACATTGTACGTCTGAGGAACAAATCAATTCTAATTCAGACAGACAACAAAACAGTAGTATCTTATCTGAGACACCAAGGAGAAACCAAATCGATAACACTTCTAAAACTGACAGAAAATATCTTGGAACTAGCGAACCAACAAAACCTGACGTTAAGCGCAGAACCTATTCCAGGGAGCTACAGTACAGTATTGGATCACCTGTCCAGAGAGAAGGGACTACCGGATTGGTACCTATCGAGTCACATTCAAAAGATGATATTCAGGAAGTGGGGAACGCCATCCATCGATCTATTCGCAACAGAAAGATCTGCGGTGACTGCACGATTTGCCACACAGTTTCCATGCCAAAAAGCAGAGTTTGTGAACGCGTTTACCAGGAAATGGGACTACGAGCCCGCATGGATCTTCCCTCCCCCTTCCATCTAGGGCGCAAGAAATCAACAACAACCCTTTAGTGAAACAAATACTCAAAGGGATTGCGAATACATAGCCACCAAAACCTCCGCCTAAAATTTGGGACATCAATCAACTTCTAGAATGGATACGATGTCATCCACCAGACATCAACAACTTATTCCAGGTTTCCAGACACTTCGCAGTACTTCTACTATTATCGTGTGGAAGGAGGGTCCACGATCTTACACTTCTTCGAACAGATGAGTGCTATTTCAAGCAATCAGAAGAAGACATTTTTTGGCCTCAGTACGGTCCAAAGACAGATGGTCCAGGCAATAGACTATCAGGTTGGAAACTGAAGAAAAATGCAGATTCCTTATGGGACATGGTAACCTGCTTAGCAAATTATAGACAGGTTTTAGATGTGAGGAGGTCTTCAAAAAACACATTTATTCCGTCCTTATTTGTCACAACTCGAGGCCGAACGCGACCTGCTTCACGGTCAGTCATAGCAGGTTGGGTTCGAACAGCGCTATTAGCAGCTGGAATAGAAAATGCAGCAGCCAGTACCAGATCAGCAGTAGCTACATCAAGGCTCAATGACAGTTTACGTCTGGACGAAGTGTTAAAGAAAGGAAACTGGAGGGGATCCAGTAACCTTTTAAAGCATTATTACAAAGAAGTCAAAAAAGCTTCAGGCGGTGTTGTCAAAAGAGCGGTACCAATATTGAGTTCCTTTATTCCTGTTTGAAGTAAACAGATAATCTAGCTGTGACATAAGCTTTTTTTTAAAGACTAATAAGTTTAGTTTTATGTTACTTACCTACCTACCATACATTTGTTCAATGACCTAGTCAGGCAGAATGTTCCTTATGTTTATATTATTATATGTTTTCAGTTTACTGGCATGTTAACCAAAATGTTCAAAACCTAGTAACTATCATTAATAAATATTTCTAAATCGGATCTACGATTTTTCGATTTGGAGATTTATAGGCTACACACATTTTCACAGTACGCCCCCCCTAGCCGGCAGAACATAAACAGATCTCAACGGTCAGGCCGTAGGCACAGAGCCGAAATAGAACAATTTTCCCCCTGAAGGGAAGAAAATTGATATTTCGGGTCTTGCCATAGGCCTGACCTATCCAATTCCTTGCCGGATTAAAGGTACTGAAGAACAAGCCGGCTAGCCGTGGCGCGGGGAGGGGGATACTCATAGGCGTATAGGTTGTGATGCTAGAATGGGGTAAGTAAAGTCGAGAGAAAGGGGGGATACACCACTCACAACGCTGAAAATGAAGAGGGTAATCTCAACGGTCAGGCCTATGGCAAGGCGAAATATCAATTTTCTTTCCTTCAGAGGGAAAATTGTTCTATTATTGCGATACGGGAAATATAACCCATACCTACTTTCGGTGAAACTTTGAGTTTGAAAATTAATAGTAAAACCATGTATGGATTTCAAAACCTAATTCTTATTCGACAAACAAAACAATGCATTATTTCTATCTTATATTTCTCAGATACTTATCATTAAAAGAACAAATTGGACAATCATGTGTTTGTCAGTGGGATCAGTGTTATCTCCAATTTTAGGAGAAGGATGACCTGCTTGATATTCCTATTCAAGTATTGCCTTATAACCATTTCTTTACAAAAAAAATACGTAGACGACATCATTTTTTGCCTACCTGTTGAAGGTTTGGACAGTATTGTAGAAGTTTTTACAGCTATTCCTGGATTCAAAGATTATTCGAAACAACAGTATCTTATTGGTAGACTGGTACATGAAGCCTACGGCATCAGACAGATTCCTGATGAAACAAATGAAAATAAGGATTATTAATTAGCATTTCTGACAGTATTTTCCATCTTTCTAGCTTACGCAAACTCTTAACACTCTTCATCAATAATGATTATCCAAGATACTTGATTAACAGAAAATCTTTTTCAGCTTTCCCACTGCTATAGCTCTTTCACATAATAATGATAACAACAATCCCAACCTTTCCAATAATAACAATCATCCTAATAATACAGGTATGTCCTCTATTTCCAGAATTGATTTTGCAGTCCTACCGTATATTAAAGACCTAACACCAAAACTTTCTAGATTGTGCAACACTTTAAACTGAAAAAATGAAAGATAGAGTTCATCTGCTTAGCTTATCCAAGATTGTCTACTACTTCAAATGCAATAACTGTAATCTGACCTATGTAGGTCAAACCTCAAGATCCCTAAAAGGTAGAATAGACTCACATAAAAGTGAAGCCCGACTACATCCAGAAAGATGTGCTCTGGCTTCACATGTCAACACCACAGGTCACCAGATGGGTTACAATGATATCAAGGTGCTATACAGAGAAAAACATCTATCAAAACGTTTGTTCCTGGAAAATGTCACATATTATCTTCATGACAGACAGTTGCATGAACAAAAAAGCTGATGTCAATCAACTTAGCGTCATTAATGCATACTTATTGAACTCCGAAAAATTGGAAAAGTATCATATCTCTCCCAACATCGACCTTTCTCAATAGTTGCTCTAATTACATAAAAATTTTTACTATCTATAATAAAATTAAACTAAGTCTACTCCAAGTCATCTTTCCTCAAGTTTGAGAGTTCCTTCATATTACCTAGCTCGGTGGTAGGATAGCATCCAAATCACACTCCTTCCACAATAACATTTATTAATTTTGAAAATAACTCTGAACTTTATCGGATAACAAAACACTTACTAGTTTACGGAACTTCCTACATAGTAGGCAACACACATCACAAGTACGTAACGTTCAATAGCGGTTCAATAACTTCAAGGTCACACTTCATATGCCACTGGAGAGAGTCAGTCGGCCGGCACGTGTTAGATAATGTGGAGGTTCTTAGGAAAAATGAAATCTCGAAGGATTTTTCAATAGCTGATAAATTTTCAAGTTCGTCCAGTCCAGTCAGTGGTTTAGAAAACATAGCTAGGGTGTTGCCATTTATTAATCAAATTAAAAAAATTTCGTCCTAATCGAACCTCATCGGTCCAGTTTTTTGTTCGTCGACTATGTGTTTCCTTTCACTGTCTTTTAAGAATAATTTCAGCAACAATCTCGCAGACTTAGTAAGTAATCATTTTACTCCTAAATGCTTATTGTTGCTATTTTTTCAAAAATTGTTTTTTAGCTCCAGGCGATGATGGCATAGACCATCTAAAGCTCGAGTTCAAGTTGTAAAAGTGTACTCATGCAAAACTTTGCCTTCAACCCAAAGAAATTTAAGGACATTCTCTCCTAACAGTTAAGGCAATTAACTATGAATAATATATATATATATATATAAAGAGAAAATGATCACGAGCAGAAGGATTTATAACAAAAAGTAGGAAAATAATGGTCAAAATTCGCAAAAAGGAGGAAAGTGGATTCGAGCAGAAAATAGGATAGGTAACCCGAGCGATACGAATTTCTGCTGGTTGGCTTCATCAGGCCTGAAATGAATGCACATATGAAACTACAAAAGCAGATACACATGCCCACACATCCGGATACGGGGGTAACATGAGAAGATGGAGAGGGAAAAAAGGACACACGATGTCCACAACAAGAGCCAACCTACACACTGTAGTGTAAGATGGCTAGAAGTCATCGAATTTTCCAGAAGATATCTACCACAACCACGCGGCCGGTTAGAGCCACTTGCTGTGGTACTTCAAGCCCAAAGGATCTACAAAAAGATGTTAGACACGTCTTTCACCTCGTCTCGTCCTTACCCTTGCACGGCCATCATGTGTACCCAAACAGAATCCGGACTCAACGCTGAACACGACTGAGTTTCATTCCACATTCCATTCAGGTCTCTCCCTACTCCATTCCAGTCGATGCTGTGGGGTCAAGGGTAGTACAAGATGAGGTCAATACGAAAGCAGTCCAAAAGACCTATTCGGCTATAAAGCTGTCCTCATTGTTATTGCCCTTCCGACAGCATCAAGCCACTGGTTAGCAACTGGCCTTGTTTTGTAAAATCAAACTCCAAGTGCTAGTTGCCTCAAACAACGATCCTATCGCTCTGCAGTCTGTCTTTGACGTCCAATACCTCTAGCTCGTCGATGTCGGCCTTCTTGGGACCTCGCTCGACAACATCTCATTACAGTAGCCTCGTTTCGGTTCACCCGATTAGCGATTTCGGTAAAAGAAAATCCGGCCTTACGTAACTGGATTATCCGACCCATCTCAAACTCCGAAAGTTGAGTGAAATCAGCGCAATGAAACAACAATGAAACAAATGGCACAACAGAGAAAAATCACTGAATATTAAGTAAACATGTTCATATTGTTTGGACCCTGATATGACAAAAAAAGCCTTTGTAAAAAAGTACGGCTCGGAATGCATTCAACATTTTATCAGCGTATACTTCCATGGTAGCAAATTATATGTTAACAAGTTATTATCAAAATTCAATAAATAATTCTGAGTGTTGCATTTTATATGTCACTTAGTATATTTATCAGACGGCAACAATAAACATGGAAAATAAAGGGTAATACAATATAGAATTTTGGTTATAACTAGGCACTGATATGCGATTATACATTATGTTGGCGTACACTGCTGAGGAAAAGTTATGAAATACTCATTTACATTATATGCCATACACATCCGAGCCAAAATTTATTGTAATTGTTTCTAGTTCTGTCCCTATTCACCTACGTACAGTTGAACAATCCAGAATGTGTGGCAACCAACGGGGATTATGGAGTTTGTACTACAACAGCTGAGTGTAATCAAAGGGGTGGTATTGTAGATGGACCTTGCGCTGGAGGTTACGGAACATGTTGTATATGTAAGTATCTAATTTTATAATGGGGCACCACCAAAAACTCTAATTATTTTAGAAGCAGAGAGAGCCGAAACTTAACTTCTTATTTTTTGGAGATGATATGGAAGGTTTCAATAAAGCTACTCCCGCATTTCTTTGTAACCTAAAGAACGGTTTATAGAGCATCTGCATAAGTATAATCATAGTCCTAATCATAATAATTATAAGAGCTAAATGTTATGATCTTTAAGGGCAACCTTGCTTAAGACAAGGGCTCATGCTTATGCTTATTTGATTATGACAGATTATATAAATTCATTCGTAAGAGATACGCATTTCAACGCAGGCTAATGTCAATTGTTATAACTATGATTATAAAGAGGTTGTTTTAGCCCGCCATAAAAATTAAGCTAACTATTCAAGCGTCTGCGGTTACTTTCAAAAAGTGGAGAAGGGTGCTATTTTTTTTTCCAAATAATTTTATTTCCATGTTATAATCTGATTTTGTAATGTAGTTATGGTATCGTGTCGAAGTACAATCAGAGAGAACGGGACGTACTTTGTCAATAATGGATATCCAGAGCCGTTTGCTGGTACTGATTCATGTCAAGCTACTTTGGTGAAAGCCAACCAAGACGTCTGTCAGTTCAGGCAAGTAGTCCTCAACACGGGCCATGTGGATACCGTGACCAGCCAAGTGCTTGCGTGTATCACGGAGCAAACGGGCATAGAGAAACAGTTACACACGGAATAACACCAATTATTGAAGCTCTGTGGTTTAAGTCCTTGGCTACGCACGGTATAAACATAACCAAAAATAAAAAAAAAACGCGAGAATTAGGTATCTGGTTAAAAATGACTGAAGTTCCTAAATTCGACAAAGAAATTTTTGTTGTCGCCTTTTGTGATATGGCGACTAGTTCTACTTTATTGAACGCTACTGGGTCAAGATATCAAGAGGATGGGACACAATATGAATATGATATTTTTATGCATACATATAAAGCTCTCGCGTTTTACTTAATACTCTTCCATATTTAGGCGTCCCGCATATAGCTAAGCACAAATACACATGTTTTCTTTAAAAAAAAAGGTGTTTTACATTTATAAAAGCATTTCACGTTTAATTCAACAACACACAAAAAAGGCACCAATAGAAAATTGTTTCACTACGTTTGCATCTTCTGAAGCAAATAGCTCTTAAAATAGTGGTTTACGTGCTTTAGTCGATATATAAAAAAAACGTTCCTGAAACTTACGATGATACGAGTAAAACAGAGTGCATGTCTCCACATTTGAGTTGCAAAAATGTTTCTAAAAATTGTCTCCTAGCTGAAGGAATATACTTTTTGACGTCTTTCCGATAAGACTGAACATGTGCAATATTTGACCACAAAAAAACAACTATTTTATTTTGTTGTAGGACTTTTTTTCCATTACGCGCGTTTTTATGACTACACTTATACAGTGCTGATAGTACATATCTCATACCATTATGCTTTCCTTCAGTGTCCGCTGCAATAAAAACATTTTGAAAGAATAGATGTTTAGGAACAAAAAAGTATAATGAAACAGAGATCATGAATATATCAGAAAAACATGCAGGTGTTGAAAACACACTACTAGAGTACCTTGTACATTAAAACTGTATGACTGAGCTAACTTTAATGTTCGTTTGAAGGAACTAATGCGTCGATCTTGGATTTCACCGATATATGACACTACAGCTATTTGTTATTTAAATCGGTAATGGTCTCGGATCTTGTAATAAAACCGCATTAAAGAGAGTTTTATCGGAAGACGATTCAGTCTAATTCAGTAAGCATCAGGTAAAAGGCATTCAATTTCCAAGCTTTTTTCTCCTTTAATCATTACTTTTAGCTTCAACCAATCCAGAGATCATCATTTTGAGTATGGAGCTCCGTTATAAAATATTTTTTTCGCAATATTCTATTCCTTTATTGAGGAATTTATAATACCTCAACAACAAAACGGAATGAATAGTGCTAAATCACATACAAATTAGTCATTGCCCTTTCCATTGGTATAATACCCTATGATTGTTGGTATGTTTCAGATTAGATTTCCATCAGCTGAACCTTGTTCGTCCAGAGCCTATCAACCACATCTGTAACACGGATCAATTCATAGTATCCGGTGGCAATCCGGTCCCGACAATATGCGGGAAGAGTAATGGAAACCATAGTAAGTTAAAGTTCGCCTAGCGCGGCGTTGACCCTGGATTTTGATACTGCGTGTTAATAGTTCAGTCAACAAAAGCTGACAAGGTGACAGGGTGAGTCATGTAGAATATTCAATGACGTTTCAGATGAGGTCAAGCGACGGAATTGGTTATAAAATAGTATTCTTAAATTACCAATTTTGAGACAAATTACTGTTTAGCATTTTTTCTAAATTATCGGCGCTTATGCACGAAATGTTTTCCTTCATAGTTTCTAGCTCTGGTATTTTTTTGTAATCTAGGTTGCTGCTTTAAAAACCAGGAATAACTGTTCAAATGCGTAGTTTTTAATTGACCAAGAACTCAGGTCGAAGCATCAGATAGATGAATATGGAATTCTTACATTTATCGGCTCTTCAAAATCAGGTATAATTATTTAAAAAAAAAGATATGCGAACTTTTATATTGAAAACGTGTACGTCTTTCTAGATGTCCAAAAATGTATAATAGATGCAATATAAAATTAGGTCACCGCCAACAGATTTGGTAGTTGACATTACATTCTGAATGAAGCTGATTTCAAAACACCCCGGTCTGGGTATCTTCTGCTGAAAGGGTTGAAACTAGTTTTTATATTATAAGGATCGGAAATGATTGATAAGCGATTTATTCTAAGTCTTGAACTGTATCTGATGCTACATGACACGTAACCTCAAGCCTTATCCAGGAATTTATCACTCCTATTTTTGATTTACCTTCCACATTTCGTACCCAATTATGTACGCGCTGTCACATCCCTATTCCTAAACCATTCTTAAACCAATTTTTAGGATCCTGGTTGTGAAGCTGTCTTTAGCTGATGAAGACTTCTCGCCGACGATGAGATATCATTACATGATCAAACGAATTTACCTGTAAGTGGTGTTCCATCTTAATTACATGTAGTCCTCGTCGAAGTAAATATTTACAATACATAATGTAGTACCCTTGTAGCTCATCAAAGGCCACGATTTCATAGCGCACACGCATCGAAGGAAAGTGGCACCACGCTCCCCCTTCCTTCTTCTTCTCTGGCCGCCCATAAACACTAATTTTCTTCATAGCTAAAATGTTGCGACAATTGGAAGATACATAGGAAGAGAGGGAACTATTTATTCGACGAGGACCTTACATAATTAAGATAGAACATTGCTTACAGGTAACCTCGTTTGATCATGTAATTATGTTCCGTCCTCGTCGAAGTAAATATTTAGAATACATAACGTTGATGTTCAAGGCTAGTTGCAACAACATACTACTAACGCCCTGCAATAGTAAGCGATAGGTTGTACCTAACTACACAAATTGTACGCAATGTATGTGTCAACTAAATGTACATTTACATTTTATCAACAGGTAATATGACGTACATAGGTTTAAAAATTACCATCCGTTACATGGCAACAAGCAAATAACGTAATAAGGTAGTTATGTTTGAGGTGTGGAGACTTGGTTCACCTCAAATGCCGCTATTCTTCGGCATAAGAGACTTGTGACGTGTCTCAGAAAACGCACTCCAGCCCGCCATGAGCCTGAGAATACTTTATTTTAGCCGGCGCAGAGGTAGATGCATTTCATGTACAATTGTGACACATCTAGATCAGTCTCTGAAAAAACCGACTTCATCCATCTGGGAGCAGAGGCACCATGATAAAGCTACCTTACCGTGACAAATAGATACTTTGACTGCAAAAGACATTTGAACGTAAAATACGGTAAACCTAAAAGTGGTTTTCACACCAGTGGCCCCGAAAACTGAGAAATCCCAATTTTCATATTATCCAACCCAATCGGATGTTGTCTGTTTTAATTAGTTTGCACACTCTGACCTGAGGTAAGGGCTAGCAGCGTTGCTGATTTCCTCATCCGAATATCTACCGACATTATCAGCAACCCCTCTGGTTGGTTGAGAACAACCACACTATCTATATTTCGGTTGAGATGGCCTCAGCCTGTAAATGCCCCTCAAAAACCTTATGACTGCATCGTTATAGCTCAAACAATTATATTTTGTAAGGTGAGAGATTTCAGGGTAGAAAACCAGACATGGATTTCTTCCCAAGGTCTTACCGTAATCTAAGCCCACAAACACATGATGGATTATAGATGCTGACTGGAATGACAGCTTTCCACTGACGACAATAAGAGTAAGTTTCAGAATTAGAGGGAGCGGCGTCCTGGATCAGATCCTTGTGTTACTTCTAGAAGTGAAATTTCAGAGAATTTTATAGGGCAAGAAATTTCACTCGTGAGTGTATAGTCGGCAGTAAGATAAGCTTACACCAAGATCCCAATGCTTACCGCAAAGTTTCGGACTCTGTCTTGGTTGCTGTTTATTTTATTGCCCTTACTAGGTTTAGTAATGTCTGCATCGTCCGCTCAAGTAACTTTATTTCTGTCACAATTTAATACTGAGCCTGAAAGTACTCAATTTTTTTCTTAAGGTATTCCATAAATGGTCTTATTAACTTTGTGAACATATAAGGGGTATAATTTACCCTGAACGGTACAGCATTGTATTGGAAGAGCTGTCCCTTGAAGATGAATCTGGAATATATTCTATCACCTTCCCTAACGGGTATCAAAATACCTGCATATTCCAAATCCAGATTCGTTAAGAAAGTATCTCTACGGAAGAAGTCTGATCCCAGTTCAATAGCCCAGACTTAAGCGTTATATCCCTATAAACAAACAGTCTTGAGGTAAGCAATCAAACGTGTAGACCCATCAGACTTGGCGGTAAGAAAAAGTTGGATAGATGCTGATTTTTAGTTAGCTCAACTTTTTTACTGATAGCACCCTAGCTACGCAATTCATAGATGGACTAATGAGATTCAGCTATGGCAAAGTGCTAAACCAGTCGCCATCTGAATGGCAAGTGTCTGCCAGCATGCACTCCTCTCCGTTCTTTGAACCTAGAGGATAGAGTATTGCCACTTGCAGTTAATGAACAGCTCACATGTTGCTGTACACAGTCCATGCGCGCATCCCTGCGCGTGACAATTTCTATTACCTATCTCAAGGTTCACCTTAGGCGGCTAGAGTAGAACAGAATTTATTTATCTACCGTAATTCAAGACCTGCCTTGAAACAACGCGCGAACATCAATTATACTAAGGTTGACGCATCATCGTGGTGATGTGTCATCTATTGAAGCAGAATACAAGGCCTTTAAGACATCACAATCCAGAGCGCCCTGCTGTTCGAGTGCCACCTTTTTTTATTTTTTTTATACTCCAACTACCACGAAGACCTAAGGCCTAAGCACCCATTGGGTACCGTGGGGTATAGGGGGATACATGGGAAAGGGGGGGACGTCACACGGACTCTGGCGAGGGAACACGTGTGCATGCAACATGCACATATTCTGGCTCCGCCTACGAGAACCGCCGGGTGGTACCTCCGCGTTCGACAGTCAGAGACCATCTACCACCTACGGACAATCACAACATCCATAGCCAAGAGAAAAATTTCTCCTGGGACGGGACTCGAACCCGCGCACGGCGACTGATCAGGAGACCGAAGAGTCTACTACTGCGGCCACCGCTGCTGCCTAGACCTATACAAAATGTAACACTTATCGGGCATAATGGTACCTCACCTCCGTTAGTACTGAACATTAGAGCTTTGGTTCGTACGTACACCAACCAGGTGGAATTTGCTATCACAAGTAAGATGCAACGGTAGTCTACCATAGATGTACCTAATTCCTATGTGTTATTAATGAAAAGTGGCACTTGGCCGGTTTCGTAACCTGTCTTGTGCATATTACTGACCTGTTCGATAGCTATCCCAAACCGTATGTAATATGGTATCACAAGCAAACTGTAAAGCTAGTATCACATAGAAGCACCCAATTTTTATTTTCTGTAAATGAAAAATGCTACATTGCTATCACAAACCAGATGGAATATGTTATATCAAGTAAAATGTAACGCTAGTCTCTCATTGTTGAAACCTACCTACCCTATCTCTATCTGCTATTAACGAAAGATGGTACTTTATGGTATTTTAGCGGTGTCCTAAGCTGTCATGTCCATTCTCACAATCATATTCCAAGTTTATCACAAACTAGATGAAATTTGCTGTCACATGCAAAATGTAACGCTAACTTCGCATAAGGTGCCTATTCTCTATCGGGTAATAAAAAAAGGATAGACATTGGCGGCTTCCTAGCCTCACATGTTCATGATTACACACCTATTCCATGGTTGTCATAAACTAAACCATGTGAAATCTGCTATCACAACTCTCTCAGCAATTTGGTTCGTGCAGCACAGTCCGAGTCATTTTCTGACAACATTAAATATCTTAAAAAACATACGCAAGTATCGTCTAAAAGCAAATTGTTAAAAGTGACTCCATTCTTAGACGAAAACAATATTCTTGGGGTAGGTGGACGCTTACGTTAATCAGATTTTACAGAAAATAAAAAGCATTATATGCTACTTTCGCCTAAACATACGCTCACTGTCCTTATTTCAAAAGCAGAACATCTCCATTTTGCATGCAGGTCCCACGTTACTATCATCTTTTAGAGACAAATTCTGGCCAATATCTGGCAGAAACTTAGTTAAAACCATTGTCCATATTTGTATTAAATGTTTCAGACTCAACCTCCCAGAATATAAGTATTTAATGGGCAACTTGCCAAAAGACATTTTCACATTTACTAGACCATTTTTAAATGTCGGAATAGATTTTTGCGGACCCTTCTTATTGAAAGAACGGTTAACAAGGTGTGAAAAAACAATAAAGGCTTATGTTTGTTTATTTGTATGCCTCTCTACAAAATGTATACATTTAGAACGTACTACTAGGTTATCCACAGAGTCTTTCATTGACTGTCTGCGGAGATTCTTTGCTCGTCGTGGAGTCAGCGCCAACATTTATTCAGATCATGGCAGTAGCTTCATTGGAGCGAAGTCTGAAATCAAAAAATTGTTAAGAAATGTAATACTTACCACTAACTTAACTAACTTAAACGTTACCTGGCATATGATTCTTCCGCGAGCTCCTCACTTCGGCGGAATTTGAGAAGCTGGAGTAAAATGTACCAAATATCATCTAAAAAGGGTTCTTTCAAATTCTCGTCTTAGTTGTGAACAGTTCAATACTATTCTTTGTCAAGTTGAAGCTTGGTTTAACTCTAGACCTATTTCTTCTTTACCTTCCACACCAAACGACCTTGAGCCTCTAACCCCAGCACATTTGCTGATTGGAGAACGATTAACAAACCTGCCAGAGATACACATAACTGAAATTCCGCAAAATCGGCCGAAGATGTACAAGAGGCTTCAGCAAATCAAGCAAAACTTTTGGAAACGTTGGTCCAAGAAGTATCCGTCCGAATTACAACAAAGAACCAAATGGAATAAAACTAGCCCCATCATGATACAACCTAGAATCCTAGTGCTAATCAAGGAAGACAACTTGCCACCATTGGTTTGGAAAGTTAGAGTCAGTGAAAGGCTGCATCCTGGTAGTGATGGAGCAGTTAGGGCAGTTATACTGAGGACTGCTACAGGAATATTGACGATGCCCACCAAGAGGATCTCCCCCCTTCCTGGAGGTAACCACCGTTATTGAAGACTACCAGCCTTCAAGGGGTCCGGCATGTTAAGATTATATAAACATTTAAATCACCCGCCATTCTCTTGCCATATGTTCGTTGCTGCTGTTACTTCGAACAACTGTCAACTATGTCAAATGACTTCGAGTACAGACTTCTGCGAGTACACATCGTTCGGATGGGGACGAAGAAGAAGCCGAAGATTGATTCGATCGTTTTTCCATGGCCGCTACAAGAGACGACAGCTCTCCGCCAATTAATTCATTTTTTAATATAAAAGTGTTATAAACAGCAAGAAAATAAATACTGCAAATTAACGTTCATATGTGTCAGTTAATCTCACACATACATTAGAGAAAAAATGACAAGGCGTTAAATCCTGGGAGCACGCAGGCCATGAAATAGGTCCATTACGCCTTGTCCATCTATTCGGAAACTTATAATTTAGATGTTCATGAACTTCTCGTCTACGATGTGGTGGAGTATGCGCATTTTCTGCTGCCCTAGCATGATTGATGTGGAAATTGTGCACTCCATTTCGTGCAAATGTGGCCCCGTCTGTACACAAAATCAATTTTGTAAAACCTTCATTTCTCTTGAATCATTCGAAAAGTCACTGGCAAAATGCAACCATTCGAGGATGATCTCCAGGTTGTAATGTACCCGTTGATAATGATAGGATAATACTGTTCTTGTCATATTGTCGTGCACACTTTACTATGACAAACTTCAACTTGAGCTGCTATGGCTGCAGTACTAATTGTTGGGTCGCTTTCGACGAATTCTAAAATGTCTTCGTCAATTTGAAACATTTCAGGTTGAGCCGGTCTTCCAGCATGACCTCCTCGTTATTTTCGTTCGTCATTTTATTATGCAACTTTTATATAGGTGATTTTTGGTATACAGACTCCTTTTGACGAGTCCTACAATACTACTGCTAAGTACCTCCAGGTGGAATATAAGATGACAGCATCGTGGCCACAGTTGTAGGGATGACCTCGTTGTGTTTGAAAGACGGGCGTGATTGATGAAGAGGAAATGGAGCCTTGCATCCTATCTGGAAGCGGTCATCTTAAATATTTTTTTTGTAGATTGAGAAGCTGCATCTATTATTTTTGCCAAAAAGTATTGTAAAAAGTATTTTCGAAACCAGCTGACTAACTTTTTTGGAGCTTATCAAATATGTAAGTCTAAGAATAGACCACAGAATCATCCCTTGAATGTTTGCTCCACTTTTACCTTCTGCGTTACTGGGAGAGGAAGTATTGTATACGCGAAAAAATCCGAAAATGAGATTATGTTCTTTGGATGTTATATGACATGTACATATTGAAAACCCGTGTCACGCTTTTCCATCGGCCCGTATGTCTGTCAGTCTGTTTGTCGGTCTGTTCGGTAATCTTTGGCCCGTCTATAACTTGAGAAGTACCGCTAGGACTTTGATGGAATTTTCACACAAGGTTGCTACTAGCTCAAAGACGAAAAAGCTCTGTAGTTTTTTAAAATCGGCCCAGTGGTGGCTGTAACAATGCTAAAAACGAAAAGTAGATATTTCATACATATTAGATTTCTTCATACATCTTTCTTCAAAACTTCCTCCCCTTCAGACGGAACAAAGCGAACATTCTTACGGAACAAGTTTCTTTCTGGCTCATTCTTTACGGAGATTGTTCGAGACACATTGCTGTCATGCGGCTATCCATATTTTGGGGGGGGGGGCTACTAGATACTAATAGCTGCTTCTAGTGAATACAAACTAGAGGTCTTCCATCCTACTGGGTGAGAACTGGAGTTTTGTTAGAGACATACTCAAAACTTCCTGACTTCTCCCTCAACTTCCACAGTTCAGTTCTTCAAATCCCGAAACTACCATATTTCTCTGGCACAAAGAAGTTCATAGAACTTCAAAATTAACCTCATTTTTCTTTTACCTAACTCGACATTTTTTCTTGCTCAATTCTTGATTTTCTATGAGTCGTGGTTCATTTAGGCTTCACAAATTCCCTCCTGCAGTTTTTCCGGAATTGAATCTTCAGCTGCCGATCTGGGAACTTCCGGCGTCGTCGCAGACTAGAATTCCTCTAGCACCTAAACCTTTAGCTCGAGGTGATCTTGCATCACTGTGATGGGTGATGATCCTTGGATCAATCTGTCCACCTTGAAAGATGTAACACTCCCTACTCCAACTTCTGTGGCTGGAGGTTTTATCCCACTTTAAACATTGCGATTCCTGGGCATGTACTCGTACAATAGCTTGCCACCAAAAAAAGCCATGATATCAGGTACAACAGGGAGTCGGCAGAAAGAGCGCAACATTTGGAAGCACATGCAGAAGGTGCGCCACATTTGGAAACACGTTATCATCAGTCTTGCCAACATCGAAGCCAATCTGCTTCCGGGACAGAAGTACTTCTTGCTAGATATGGTGGGAAAAAACCTATCTGCCAGAAGTACTACGCCCTAGCCAAAGAAGAGGCTCGCAAGCCAGCAAAGAGCAGTGGACGATAACAGACTTCAACAGGGTAGTCCTCCAGACAACAATGGGGATCCGGCACCAAAGGCCTGCACAAGAAGCGAGCTAGTGGATGTGGGCTAAAGAAGTTTCGCACTATTCTAGACAGAAGGGAGACCGATGCCCAACACCCTGCTTTAGCGAAAGATGTTGCCCCACTACGGCTTAATCAAGCCAACACCTGTCGTGGGTCTTTGTGCACCGTCACCCCTCCCCTCGCTGAGCAACTTCCCAAAGCTACATGACCACCAAACAGAGCAGCCTGCACACTCAACCAACTCGGATGTTGTACTCATGTCTCAGCAACCTCATAAGGATGGGATCCACAGCAACCACCACCAGATGCCAATCACGAGAAGTGTCCATCTACAACCACCACCATGCGCAACAGTTTAGGCAATAGTTTATCAGAATTATCTCTTGTGAATAGAATCATTACATCATCATCATATTTTTGGGTTGAAAGCTTTATTCACTATTTAGTAGTAGTAGCAGTAGTGGTAGTTCAGGCAGCAGCGGTGGCCTAGTGGCAGACGTTATGGGTATCCAAATCAGTCGTCGTGCGCTGCGCGGGTTCGAATTCCGTTCCAAGCGAACTTTTTTTTGCGATGGATGTTGTGCTTGTCCGTAGGTGGTGGACGGCCTTTGACTGTCGATCGCGGAGGTACCACCCGGCGAAGGGGCCAGAATGTTAGGTGGGTTCAGCGCGCGGCGCAATGGTCTACTTGATAGTTCTGCTCGTATTGCGACAGTGGTTCGATAGGCGCTGCCGAGTCAGACGATGTGTGAAGGGGTAACGTTGCCACAACACGGTTAATACAGGTAGGGCAGTAAAAAACTCTATGGACTAATTATGTGGACCTGTTTGACTGATTTGATTCTTTTAATTTCTCCATTGTACATGTTTGTAATACATTTTCTCTAACTTGTGCTGAACATGAATCTTTATCAACTGATGACAGCGTTGCATAGGAAGTACAGGGTCAACGTACTTGATGCCATTCTTTTTAACTTTTTGTATTGTCAATAAATTCTAGAGATATGCGTATTTCAGTGGTCTGGGTGTCTCAGGCCCGTATCGTCAGTCGTCCCTACAATTGTAGGGCGCGTTTATGCCCTCCTTGATTGTCATACTCCTTTCTCTCCTTCAAAAATTTCTAGATTACACTTGTCCCGTGACAGCGTCAGCGCTCTCCTATTGTGAAGATATGTTTTCTTTTTAAATGATAAAACATGATATAACTCAAAAGCAAAGCACAATTTGATGCAAATAGATGTTTGTGACATAACCTCAAAATAGAGTTCTGACACGGAGAAGTAGAAAACTACGACAATCAAGGAGGTCATAAAGGCGCCCTACAATTGTAGGGACGACTGACGTTACGGGCCTAAATGCCTATGACTGACTGCCCATTCTCTGTTTCAGTGTACATTGACGCCGGTGCCGGTGTAGATAATCCTATTACTCTGTCAGTGGTAACGGGCGATAGTTCTTTCCAGAGAAACTGGAAGATACGGGTGCTGCAGATACCCTGCACTTCTCTTAATCGAGGTAAGCCCTGATATATATGTATAACTTGAAACTTGATTGTAACATATTGTACTAGATACAGGTGAAATATGGGCAGTCGGATGTTGCTTGTTGAAATATCGACATTATAGTGTAGGGTAGAGGAGAAAAACGCTTAGTGTTGATGACTTTAGAAGAAACTTCGTCATTCATTCTAATTTCAAACTAGAAAAAAATAAATAAAATATGGCTGTATGTATCTTAACGTTTTGTATTGTGTGGGGACTTATAAGATCATTCTAAAGAAGTTGTGGTAAGGCATCATGCAATCGACAGTGAAATAGTATTTAGAAATAAAAACTCACCACCCTATTTAGAATACCCGCTTTGAATCCAACAATAAGTGGGACTACGTTAGGCGTCATCAAGGAACCCCAGGAGTGTATAAACAAAGACAATAAATACCTCCACCATCTGATACGAGGCATTAGCCATTTTTTAACCAAGCCATAAACAGGTGCAGCCGAACCAGTTTTTTGTCACTGGCCGTTGTCGCAAGCGCAACTTAATGAGGTGATAAACAACACAGACCTTCACTAGATAATTGTTAAATGTGATACAGATTATTTTGGTAATAGTTTTATTTGACACCCACGACAAGTTTTATATAATATTGACAAGAAGTGATGCTATCGAGCATGTTATCAGAACCTAGACCCAACCGCTGACCATGTTTGCAGCGGAAAATGGATGCCTGCAGTACTTTACCGGGGTAGCTGGTCAAATACTGTCCTTCAACTACGACCCTACTAGTGGAGCTCAACTGTCTAACCAGGACTACGGGATTTGCATTAGAGCTGAGAGGAATTTCTGCGGGGTACAATACACACAATGTCCAGATCCGACAGCGGGTAAGGATATATGGTATATGTATTGATATGCGATGCAGTTAAAGACTACGCTAATACTGATAGGTGGGTTGAGTGAACTAAATTACTGGCCTCTGCGGAACTTTCGCGAGTATGTATAATATTTGCCAGTGCCACTAGTGACCAACTAGTTATGCAGTAGTAGTAGTAGTTGTTGTATTCACTTATTTATGTGCAAACCAGCTCATCATCGTTGGTCAAAGCAGATCACTGCAACATATCCTTTTTTGTTTCGCCTAATTTCTCAGAAATCTTTTGCTCGATAAGAGCTTATTTATCTTGCTCATAACTTGGTAAATTGATGTCCCTTTTTATAGGAAAGTACGTTGCCTAAAAAGAAATAAGGCAAAACCGATAAGTTAGAATTATAACCGAAGGCAGATAAACCGTGAGTTGTATATTTGTAAGAAAAGGTGTAGATTTGATTTGGCTTTTACCCAAAAAAATACACTTCTATCCCCAATCAATACTTTATTCCGCGTTCTACCATTTACTATGTATTTAGGCATAAACATGTTTATGAAAAAATACACCTTTGCCATTTTTATATGATTAACGTTATTGAAAGCTAGCGGCGTGTCTAGAGTACTATCTTTACCTCGGAGCTCATGACTGTGCAGTGCCTAAGCTGTATGTATGTCCTGTTATACAGTCTTTTTGTATCGATATGTTGATGTATTGTTGATTCTTGTATTCTATGTGCCCGATCTGCATTTTTTCATAACTAACCAACACAATGTTCTTTAGATATTTTTTTTCTGCAAAAGCTGGAACGAATTTGAGAGGCGGAGAAGCAGCCTGTTGTATCATTAATGTAATGATTCCCTTGAAACGGATAGAAAAAGTATACTGGGTGTTTATGGGACCACGGTAGAATGGGATTAGATCTCGGGAATAGGTCTATAGTATTTTTTGGTACCTATTAAAATTACGTAAGAAGTAACCAAATTCATCTTCTGTAAATACTCAATTTAGCTCATGTTATCGACGTGGAGCACTTGTTGTATTACCAGACAGCTATATTTCGCATCAAATATCAACAGAACAAGATTACATGTGGATGTGTGAGGATTCGAAAGTAATAAATTCATACCAGTGTTGTTGTTTTTTCCAATTATTCGCATCGTACTATCGCATACCTATCATGAACACTAGGTATATTTTTTGATTCACCTTGTAGCTTAGTTGTCTGGTATCACTGGATAACAAATTTCAAAAAAAGTAAGTACCTAGTTAAATCTGTCCTTTTCATTCATTTATACAGATTGTTTAATGAGAATAGATGATAAGGCAACCTTGCTCAGCTATTGGCATACTGACAGTTCTGACTTGAGGTTATGTTGTTGTTTTGACGTTCAAGACACATGAATGGAAAGCAGAACCATAATTTATAATTTTCTTGCAAATAATGTCGATCACTCAAAAATACCTCGCTACATTGAACAAATTCCACAACCTGTGGTATCTTCAAGAAATTGTTAGGAAAATTAATGCTCATGGACATATTATATCATAATATTATATTTGTGTGCATGAAAGTTCAGAAGCTTACAACCAAGCTATTTTCTTGATGAAGATTGGTAAGTTACAAAACAAATCATTGCATATCCATATTATCTACTTATCGCATTATTTTCAGGTGTGATTCATTCTCACAGACTTTATGATATGGTTCCTCCATGGATATGAAACATTGTATGACAAGTGCAATTATTGCATTACTTTTTCACAAATCATTGTGGGCCTCTAGATTGTGTAGTGTCAGACACAAGTATGTATAATGTGTGTATGTGGAGATCATAATTACTATTATTGACCATCGCTATTTCAGGGTGCTCAAAATGCCATGGTCATGTAGGATTACCAAAAATGAAGTATTACAGAGAGTAAACAGAAGAATAGAGTTGCAGCATGAAGCAAAATCAGAAAAAACTTTATGACAATTCCATAATCGAATGGGAAAATAAAAGAAAATTGTGAATCATCAAGGGAATTACTTTCCTGTTAAACAAACTCTAAACAACTAGATAAGCGGAAAAGACCCATTATGTTGAAAATTATAGTTACCGCAAAGTCAGACTGGGTTAGGCCCTAATAAGTAGTTTTAAGATAGTTTCATTGTATTCATAATTCACTCATCATTACAGATTGATAGATGTTGCAAGTATCAAATTAGAACTCCCAACTTTATCATGAACTTAACATGTAAGACTCATTTTAGGCAAAAATGAACTTAACCTAATCTGGCTCTGAGGCACAGAATTTGATTTGTATTTAAACTGCTGGGTATACATTTTGGATTTAAATGACTATCAATAATTCAGCTACTGAGCATACTTCAGTGGTATCATCAAGAACAAGGAGATCAATGCACTGAGCCTCAAAGAACAATATGTTGTATTTATCAAATGTGTTGCACCATATATCAATGTTGTAGAATGTGGCATTTGAAGAAAAAGTGAGGACAGCTAAATACAGTTTCTTTTCCATTTTATTCATTGACTTGTAATCTTAACATAAAAGGGAACATTTATTAAAACTGTGGCATAGGAAAGAAAAACATTTACTGTTTGAGAAAGAAATATCACAAACTGAACAGGTTTGATATTTGAAACACTCATATGAATAGCAGATTTTGCTAGTTATGATAGTCACAGTAAAAGAAAATATGAAATCTTCGGCTCGAGTGTCTGCATTTATCACTTGAAGTACTGGTAACTGCAATTTAGTTTGTTTCCTAATTGAATCTCCTAGGGGGGTGGCTTCAGGTCCATTTTTAGATAAAAACTTCAATGATCGTATATCCTAAACGTTTTAACTTTTGAAACACAGGGTGGTAAAAAAAGTCAAAAAAATAAATCCTTGATTATGAATATCCGCATTGCCACTTAATGAAATTTCGCATACATGTAAACGTGTCAAGAGGCATTCTTTTAATTTTACCTACCTGTTTTGATAGACAGTGATGGTATGCCTCTTGTCAATCACTTCTAAGCAAAAATCACTTGGATTGTTTTCAATCTGATGCACGGTTTTTATAAAAACGATCATAACAATATTGTTAGCATGACAATATCACCATGCAGGGAATTTTTTGGGTGGAAATAGTGGGTCGGACCTGAAGAATTGAATTATTTTAGTCTGACGCACGGTTTTCACCTGAAAAATACAATCTATTTCTCGACATAGTGGAGGTGCATAAGGGCCCGCTTAAGCGGCCTATGCACTGGCTCCTTATGGTGGCCGGGATGCCTCTAAAATTCAAGATTCATTCTCGACATAGTGACATTTTCATACTAACGATATTAGGATCATGCAAAGAAACGTTATTTTATTTTTGTAAGCGAATACCGTGCATCGGTGTGAACAAAAATTAAGCAATCAAATTTGCCTAGAAATGACGAGATTTCAATTAAAAGTTTTTATTTTAAGAGAAATCAGTTGCATATTATCATTGTCTGCCAAAATAAGCAATTGGAGTCGGTACGAAAAGAAAATTCGTACATTAAAAAATACCTCTTGATAGTACATAGATGCAGAATGTTAATAATGTATTTAAAGTGATATTACAGATCGTAACAAAAAAAATGATTTTTAAAAAGCTTACCACCCCGTTTCTCAAAAGTCAAGACGTTTAGGACATACAATTATATGAAGTTTTCTTCTTAAAATAGAACCAAAAGTCGCCCTCTCAAATATTGACATTCAGTTGGAAAACACCTTATATATTTTATGTAAATAAATTTGGATTTATTATAGGTTATTGTAATACACTATTGTAGTTTTTCATTTTGGATATGTTTTTCGACTACCTATATATATGTTCATATTTCCTGTTATTATTTGTACTTTTTAGATATAAAGACTTCATTTGATTACTGATACTTATGTATTTTGACATACTATCTATGAATTAGTTAACAATTTCATGTATCATATTTTCCAGTTGGTACTTGCAGAATATAAATAAAAGAATACTTGATCAAATAAATATTTTTTATTCTACATTGTATACCCACAGAAAAACAATCGGTTCATTCAAAAATATTTAGAAATATAGATTTCATCAATTTTTAATCCTTGACGTCAACTAGATTGTATGCTATTTTCTAAATTACAAGCTATGTAAACAGGGCTAAAAGGGTGTCTGATCAATTGCAAAGAAATCTGTCTAGTTTGGGGGTACATTAGATCATTTTGGAAAGTTAATTAACTCTAGGTATCAAACTTCTTGAAATATCCAATTTAAATATATTGACTCTTCTTTTTTCCCTCTAATAACGTTCCTTACACAGGAGTTATTGTCTCGGAACAACATCTTGTACCCTGGGCTTATCAGAATTGGATCTTCTTTGCGCAATGCAAGTAGATCTAAAAAAATAGTATTGTAAGTAATGGTGATTTCTTATGCTTTACTCCTAAGTACCGATATAACCATAAGTGTTAAAGTATGTATTTCATATAGCATTTTTGCTAGATCACTGGATTCGTATTTAACCTGTGGCATCACCTTTGAGATTTTGTACAAATAGAAATGTTGATTACAATATTCAAGAAGCCACTTTATCGAGTTTCGTGTGACACTTTATCTCTCACGTGCAACATTAACTATTACACATTTGAGAACCCCCTTCCCAGGCATAACAAAGCTCCTCTTGAACTCAATAGCTTTTAACTTTTATGGATAATAGGCTTATGCTAACCTTAAATTTACAAATTGCAGTGTAACACATGTCAGTCAGAAAAAGCAAATTCACTTATTTCAGTAAGGTTGGCTCCTTCAAACATGCTTTCAAGCGCCTGGATGCATGAATCCATTCTTAGGAAGATCATTCGCCTCTTTATCCTTCCAAAATAGATATGGAGTTTTGTATGCAATATTACGATGGTTTATATCTGCAAAAAAGATGCATACATTCAAGACACATTAAAAATGTTACACCTTGGTGTGGGCTGCAATTTTATAACATTTTTCAGAGTTACAGTCTGAAATTTTTAGGTGAAGGTTCCCACTAATATAAAAAAAATACCAGATAGGGCAGGGCATGTTTAAATTCAATTTCAGAGCATTTACACAATATACATCATACTTGTAGCCTGACACTAGGCAATCCAAAGTCTGACAATGATTTGTGAACAGCCATCTCCGACACGAACAATGCAGTTGCACTTGGGATACAATGTTTCTTATCCAACATCTCATAAAGTCTGTGAGAATGAACCACATCCGAAAAAAATACGATAAGTATATAAATATGAATATGCAATGTTTAAAAATTTTGTAACTTACCAGCTTCATCAAGGAACAGCTTATTGGTTGTAAGCTGTTAGGCAAATATATATAAATACACATCCATTCGCATTAAATTGTTGTTAAATTGTTAAATCATTAATACTAGATATGGGACTTGAAGATACCACAGCCTGACGAATTTGTTCAATGTAGGAAATTATTATTGAATGATGAACACTATTTGCAAGAAAATATCCTTCGGCATTTGAGTCATGTCTAAAATTTCTTAAACGTTAAAAAAGAAACATCACCTAACATCACAATTGACTTCTGATTGACGGCAGACTAGAAATCAAAAGCAGGACATACATGTAACTTACCGAAGAAGACATAATATTATCGAAATCAAGGAGGCCATAAACGCGCCCTACAATTGTAGGGACGACTAACGATACGGGCCTAGGTATAAGATGCGACAACATGAAGTTCAACTGAAAAATTTTTAAGGTTGAAAATGGATGATCAACCCTTAAACTGTGACTGAATTTATTAAAATGTTGGTGGACTCAAATATTATTAGCGTTTTGAGCAAAATTCCGTCCAAAAATTGTATTACCCTCCAAAAAATTGTATGATTTTCAACAATAAGCCGAATAGCTAAACGCATGAAAATCCAAAAATGTAGGCTATGAAGTCAAATGTCCAATTTGATACTAATGCTCCGCAAACTTTCATATAGCGAACAAGTTGAAACTAAACTAAAACTATTAGTGTTAGTTTTCTTTGAAAAAACTGCAGGAAAATCGATCAAGAATATCGGAGAATATTTTCTAATCGTGTAATTCATCATGGAGAAACATTTGCCAATATCGAAAGACGGGCTCGAGAAACATGCAACTTCTTTAGTTATACTCGAGAACGTATTACTACAATCAGAGGGCAAGATGGAGAATGGTAATAAGCTTTTAAAACCACCAGGAAGGAGAAATAATTGGACACAAGGTTGGGCTCTGCGATCACCGGACCTCAACAAATGTGACTTCTTTCTTTGGGAAACATCAAAAGAACCTGTGTATTTCTCACCAGTAACACCTCGAACCAAATTGTGGAATCACATTACAGCTAAACGCACATTCATTAGAAACGATCAGCATTTATTGGATGGAGTTCAACTTTCGACAAGCAATAAAATTCCAAGAAAACCGTGATCATTTCGAACAATTTCTGTAACTTACCAGTGCACATTGTTTGTTGCTTATAATGTTTAAGTTGCTTATTTTTAGTTAAATTATTGTTGTTCCAACTTTTAACCAGATTATCAAGTCTGATGTTTAATTTCATAGCCAACGTTAAAGTAACAAATAACACAGCTGCTTTATGTTATTCAGATTTTTATTGAAAGATACAAAATGTTTTAAAAATAATAAGGGTAAAAAAACTTTATAATTGAATTCTACATAAAATGGTTTTTCATGTCAACCAATGTGTTAAAAAATATACATTTTCGAGGTGCAGCATTCTATTTCAACCCTTTAAATCCTTCAGTTGAACTTTCATTGTCGAATAATAACCTTCGATACACAAAAAACGTGCACTAAATTTGCTTTTTTGAAATCTGAAACCCCAATTTTACAGCCTGTAACTCCCCAGGGATGCAACTTGTTATGTAGGTAAGTTGTGATAAATTACAATATTCTGGGTTCCATTAGATGCATCTGCTATGTCTCTCCTTATGCGAAACACCCTGTATATTCATAAAAGCCTGCCTGAGAAATTCATTTAAAATATTTTCACTAAGCTTATCACCTTTTCGTCCTATGTCAATAGGTAAGACTATAATAACTGAAACGTAGAAAAATTATAGCTTCAGTTATTATTGCTCGGGTGCTTTATGATACAAGCATAAGAAAACATGTCTGTCATTTTCATCGGTACACATGCCGGAAAGTTCTAAACGGTATTCGGCCTTGGGGAGGTTATCAAATAATAATTTCTTTTGCATTGCGCTTTATACATCCGATCTTCTGACGACTGATCCCCATTGAAACTCATCTCATCGATATTCTCGATTAGCGCAGAAATTTAGGTGGTCCTTTCATGATCAAACGAATTTGTGTAGTGATGCTTGAATGTAGGTTTTGATAAGTAACGTCGTTAATCCCAGCTCGGTATTAATTTGGACGGGATTCAGGAAGTCCCGAAAGACGGACGAAAGATGCATTTGTATCAGATTCGTCAACCTATACCCGTTATCAGGCGAACTGTTTTACTTAAAATGACTAGTCCTTATGAAAAATTACAGGTCGTTCATGTTTCAAAGAGGGAAACGCTATTATAGCTCCAACTAGGCTTTTGCTCGATGGAGATGCTCGCCTACTCGAATCTCCGGAACAATCGTAGATTACCTATCACGATACTTCAAAACGTGACAACAAATAAACATTTACTTACAGTGCTTCTTATCCCCACCCCCCCCCCCCCAATTATTTTTTGGTGCGAGAAAGCTGAAATTCGGAAATTTATATACTAAGTGACATATAAATCCGAACACCCAGTTTAAATGGTTTTATTTTAATAAAATTTTGTATAAGTACTTAATGAAGCATAATAAGTAAATGATAAAAATTTCAAAATGATTGCACTGCTTTAAAGCCCTTTGACCTTTAATAATGTGTGGATGCACCCTGATGTGCTACGCATTCTCCAACGCGCCTAGGCATGCTTCTGATCAGTTGGTCAATGTCCTCCTGTGGTATCTCATTCCAGGCAACCACCAACTCCTCTTGAAGTGCTTCTAGAGTCTGAGGAGGACGTTGCAAATTGAGCAATCTCCTACCCATCATATCCCACACGTGCTCAATTGGGGATAAGTCGGGAGATCTTGGTGGCCATGGTAACAATGTGACATCATTATGTTGAAAGAAGTCTATTGTGACTCTTGCAACATGTGGTCGGGCATTATCTTGTTGGAAAGGTGGATCTGCCAGGGTGTCAAGATAAGGTAAAAGATGGGGTTCTAGAACTTCGTGGATATAACGCTGCGCGTTCATGTTACCTCTGATGAAGATTAAAGGTGACCTGGAACCATAAGCTATAGCACCCCAAACCATAACTCCAACAGTGTGATGAACATGTCTTTCAAAAAAAACTGTGGATTCCTCCTTTCAATACGTCGCCTTCTGCAGCAGTATAAAAACCGGAATGTCCAACTGATAAAGCTGAAAATTTTTTCACTTGTTATTTACAGTAAGATAAATACATTCACCACCTTTTATTAAAATAAAACCATTTAAACTGGGTGTTCGGATTTATATGTCACTTAGTATATATTCTGTCCACAAAGTGGCAGTTGAGGATTTCAAGATGGCGACTGGTCGCCATCGTGGAACATTTTTATAATTGGAATGCGAAAACATATGACAGTTCACTTTAAGGCCCGTATCGTCAGTCGTCCCTACAATTGTAGGGCGCGTTTATGGCCTCCTTGATTGTCATACTCCTTTCTCTCCTTCAAAAACTTCTAGATTACACTTGTCCCGTGTCAGCGTCAGCGTTCTCCTATTGTGAAGATATGCTTTCTTTTTAAATTGTAGGAAATTTCAGGCTAATAAAACATGATATAACTCAAAAGCAAGCACAATTTGATGCAAATAGATGTTTGTGACATAACCTCAAAATAGAGTTCTGACACGAAGAAGTAGAAAACTATGACAATCAAGGGGGCCATAAACGCGCCCTACAAGCTCCGAAAGACGAACCGGCTGTCAAGATTGAGCGCTTTAGTAAGTTCTAGAGCATATAGCTTAACAACTAGTATATGTAATATGAGTTCTTTTATTTTAGAAGGGTTTATCTGCATATTTAATAAATAATGGAGCATTTCATTAAAACGACTGTCAGAATCTGTAATCTTCTTAGGCGGGCTGCCCCATATTTTATTGCGTAGCCAGATAGACCCTTCCAAAGGAATAAGATTGATATAACATAGGATATAACTATAGAAATAATTAGTTGTTGAGTTATAAGGCTAACTTTACAAGAACGCTCAACTTTGACAGCCTGCAAGTCCGTCATATTGAAAGATAGTGAATGTGTTATTTATAAAGTGCGGATGAGGAGCTAAATCAGGGATAATATGACTCCTAATTTCGGTTAAAAATATTTCTTAGCGCCCGGCCACCACCTTGAAATGTTCAACTGTCTCTTTTACTTTACAATATAGTACGTACTCGTAAATGGTGAGATATAAGAACTAGATAAAAATCTCTCAAGAACATATATATATATACAAAAAACTGATGCTACAAATCTTGATAAATTGGCATACCAGATTCCCCTAAAGATATACAGACCCTAAAAGGACGCTACTGGAAATAGTATTTTCTTAAATAACCCTTTTCTCTTTTAACGCAATGTTTACAGCGCTGTTATCAGTTCTTATATAATGACAGTATTAATGGACATCAATGGGAGGTAATCTGTAAGGCTAGAAGTAGATGTAACTAGTTAGGGAAGAGATCATTCCTAAGGTTATATAGACAAATATGTAAATTGCTGAACAGATGTTGGCCATCACAGTCATCAGCTCAGTTGGATTTCCAGGGACAGAATACGCCCAACAGAATATTTTCATTCTTTGCTCACACATTACTGGCTCAAAAATAGGATTAGAAACTGTGTATTGTTAAACGAGCAGTTGATGAGGAAAACGCCATTGTTCAAATAACTCTTCTATTTTCCTTTTATATCGAAGCAGCCGCACAAGCAGAAGCCTGTGCCGGAACACCGCGGCTGCTATGATGATCCCAAAGAAATTTTGTTAATACGATTTTTGAACTGCCTAGGGTTAGTAGAACTGGGAGAAGCCTCCTCTTGTAGATTGTTCCACAATTTCGTCACCCTCGGGACAAAGGAGCGGTCATATCGGCCAGTTCTGGATGTACGAAGTTCGACACGGTTAGGCTGGGACGCCAAAGTCAGGCGGGTCCGTCTGGCAGGCACATCGCGCGGCGGCATCATGGAAGAGAGCTCTGAGGAGCAAAGCATGTTGGTGTAGCGGCAGAAAAGAGTTAGATCGCCGCCGGCCAGCCGGTGCGAAAGAGTCCCGAGACTGTCTGTTAGAGAAGAGTCATCGATCAGTCAAACCGCCCTCCTCTGGACAGCATCGAGCATGGATAATGTAGTCGGGGCGGCAGCACCCCAAACGTGTGAGCAATACTCGAGGCCAGGCCTTATCTGGGCCCTGTATAGAGTGAGAAGTCATGCGGAGAAAAGTATTTCTTAGCCGTAAACAAATAGCCTAGATTTTTCCCAGCAGGTGCAGCTATTGACTTCATGTGTTCGTGCCAGATCAGGTCCTCGGCGATCTAGACTCCGACCAGCCGAAATGAATGACTCTTTGGCAGAACTCGGCCCATCCATCGAAACCGGGTGAGCGCTAGGACGCTTTTTGTTCATCAAAGTACAGTCCTATGTTTTGGAAGCATTGAACTGTAAAAGACTGTTGCGTTCCCAAGCATTGATAGCCTCCAAGTCTCTTGTCAGAGAGAAGAGAAAGTCGTCGCTAATCCTCTTTTTTCCAGCTCAGCAGAGATCGGCTTGTCACTCTGAATTCCTGCATGTAGAGTGCTGTCATCAGCGAAGCTGTGGAGTGGGTTGATCGTGCAGGAAAGGAGGTCGTTGATATGTATGACAAACAGTGTCGGAGTCAAGACCGATCCCTGGGTAACACCCGCGTTGACGTTGTGGGATGAAAAGGAGAAACCGTCAATTACGACAGATATCTTGCGGCCAGATATAAAGTGAGCCACCCATCTGCAAAGCTTTTCTGGGAGGCCATAGGATGGAAGTTTGCTTAAAGGACAGCGTGCCGCAGCTGATCGAACGCTTTCGTGATGTCAAGAGCAACGACATGAGCCTCACCATAAGACTGGATTAGTTTACTCCACAATTGCGTGACGTAAGCTAGGAGGTCCCCTGTGGATCGTTGGTGCCGGAAACCATACTGCCTGCCGCTAATCAAGCTGTGACGTTCAAGGTAGCCCAGAAGCTCGCGATTTATGCACCTCTCCATCACCTTGCTTATAACAGAAAGCATAGCTATAGGCCTGTAGTTGTAAGGGTTCAGTCATGCGGAAAAAAGTATTTCTTAGCCGTAAACAAATAGCCTAGATTTTTCCCAGCAGGTGCAGCTATTGACTTCATGTGTTCGTGCCAGATCAGGTCCTCGGCGATCTAGACTCCGACCAGCCGAAATGAATGACTCTTTGGCAGAACTCGGCCATCCATCGAAACCGGGTGAGCTCTAGGACGCTTTTTGTTCGTCAAAGTACAGTCCTGTGTCTTGGAAGCATTGAACTGTACAAGACTGTTGCGTTCCCAAGCATTGATAGCCTCCATGTGTCTTGTCAGAGAGAAAGTCGTCGCTAATCTTCTTTTTTCCAGCTCAGCGGCAGAGATCGGCTTGTGACTCTGAATTCCTGCATGTAGAGTACTGTCATCAGCGAAGCTGTGGAGTGGGTTGATCGTGCAGGAAAGGAGGTCGTTGATATGTATGACAAACAGTGTCGGAGTCAAGACCGATCCCTGGGGAACACCCGCGTTGACGTTGTGGGATGAAAAGGAGAAACCGTCAATTACGACGGATACCTTGCGGCCAGATATAAAGTGA